GCCCCTGCTAAAATCCGGCCCAGACCCCAGGGCATATTATTCCAGGATTTTGCAGGCTTATTTTGGTTACAGGAACGAAACCGGCACGGAGGAGGAGGAAGCGTTTAAGTTCATTTTCAGCAAAAATCTCTACCCTGACATAAGGATGTCAGTGCAAATGATGGCTAATTTCAAAGAAAAATCCATCGGTGAGATAAAAAGTTGTGCTGTGAATGTCTTTGAAGCCCGTTCACAGGCCAAAACACCCATTGAGGTGTTCCCAGGTGAGAGGATTCCTGCCCAGTCGTTAGAATTGGAAGGGACGAGAGCTTCAGCTCCCCCTCCCAAAAAAGGTGAGATGAAACGAGGTTTCCCAGCAGCCATACCACACCAGTTGAGTGCCCCCTGGTCCAGACGAGATCCTAAACCGTTTCCCCAAGAAACCAGAGGATGAACGATTGTACCAGAAGGGGGGCCAACGTCCTAAGGGTAAAAAGTATGGCACCAAAAGTGACCCATACAACCGGGGATCCCACTGGGAACCCCCAGAGGAGGGGACCTGCTTCCCCACCATGTCGGCCTGAACAGCCTGAGACGAAAAAGAAATAGCAGCAGATCCAGAAAGAGAGCCCCAGACCTCTGAGCTCGGATGAGACAGAGAGTGTGCATCGGTTCTTGGAATCGTTGAAAGGTGTTGCCACGGACAAACAACCTAACGCGTTGCTTGGCAATATCATTGCTGATAAGTCAGAATGCACAGACAACACCGTTACTGCTGTCACAGACAGTCACCATTACGTTGTTGTTGTAAACTCTGACAGGCCCTCACCTGAAAAAGGGGGGGTACAATCACACGTCACCGACGGTGACCCGTCACAAACTGAAACCTCAGAAACAGCAACAGCTGTGCTAATGGTTCAGTCAAAACAGGGTGACACAAACAACAACGTTGCCGCTGTCATGGACAGCCATCAGGACCTTGTTGTTACAAACAATGAGAGCCCCTCAACACACAGTGAGCGGGTGATCTCATACATCAAAAACGGAGGCCCGTCAAAAGCCAAACTCTCAGGGACAGCAGCAAATGCACCAACGGTTCGGAAAAAAACAGGATTACGCAGGCAAAGGTAAACGTAAGAAGAAACGTTGGCCAAAACCTACACGGTTCCTGTGTAACCTGATCAGAAAGGGGGTCGCTAAAAAAGCTTATCTGTCAATCACACTTGAAGGGGTCCTCACACATGAAGCACTACTGGATGGTGGAGCCGACATAACTATTATGACAGCCACCCGGTACATGTGTCTCCGGTTGACTCATTCCCATTTTTGATCGGCCAGGATTTTATAAATCGCTTTGACGCAATTATAGATTATGGTAAACAGACAATGTGGGCTAGAATGAGCAAACCCCTGCCAATACTCATGCCTCCTGAGACAGTCACAGACTGCCCAACAGCAGGCACCGCAGAAGGCACCAAGGACTTCTCAGCAGAGAACACAGTCCGGGTAAGTAAGCCTTCAAAGGCATGTGAAACCGAAGAGACCCAACCGGTGGACCCAACTCTGACTGAACAAGAAAGCCTCCTCTGCAAGCTGAAACAGTCAGAGCCCACCGGATACTACCTACCATTGGTAGCTAAAGGTGTAGAGATCCAAGGATCCCACACCAAAGATGCTGTACTGTCGCTGCGGACAGATAAACCAGCTATCAAGGACGGAGCCATGGACAGCCCTCAGTGGTCCTCTGACCCCTCCGGGCTGCTCGCAACCCTGTCAGTAAAACCTACAGCCGAGGTAATGGCAGTCACACGTGCACAGGCTACAGCCAAGCCAGCTGACGACCCAGTCTCTGTACAACCCGTGCTGACTGACCCAGACATCATCCAACTTCTGAAGTCGGAACCTGCGATAAACTCGATGATGCTGTACTTGACTGACCCAGAGAAAAACACTCCGTCCAAAGCCGACCTGGATTCCAATCCAGACCTTAAAGCCCTCTTTCAGCTGCGCAAACAGCTAAAACTACTCAAGGGAATCCTAAGTTTTGCTCATGGACCGACGTCCTCACCCGTGTTCGTGGACCCCCATGACCACAGGGGGGTAATGTTAGTTAGGGTGATGTTATCAGACGCGATAACGTGATCAAATCTCAGACAGTCAGAGTGAGTGACGCACTGAAACGTCGTTTTCTAGTTGCTCAATCACTACTTTTGTCGATGTTGAAACGTTGTTTTTCTGGTTGCTTAATCACTACTTTTGTCGATGTTGAGACATCGTTTAATTGGTTTTTGGTATTGTTTCTGAACACCCCCAGCAAGAATGAATTTTGTGTGTACTTTAGTTAGAGACTAAGAGGACTTTAACTATGCCAACATGCAGTTCATTTGTTAAACTTCAATCTTTGAGGAGTCAGTGTAGATTGATGCTACCTTAAGTACCATAACCTACATTGGTCTCACGACGCTCAAGCCGAACCTACTCGAACAATCCTATTCGGGGGGGCTAGCTAATCCTTCAGTTGAGTCTCGCCATAGACTCCAAAAACATTTAGGGGGAAACCAAAAAACCAAACCTCAAGTTGTTCGTCTAAATGGACAACAGACAATTGAACCAAACTATATTTTGCCATGTAAATCTAACTTAAACCAAGTTAGGAATGGAAAAATAGTTTGGAATGCCCTTATATAGGTATAAATCCCTATATATTAAATTTTTCAGCATGACCCACCCTTTAAACTGGTAACTGTAGCTGATCTAAACCATGATAGCTTACACACCAGGTGCATATAGGTTAAGGTCTTATGTAAAATCCCACTCATAAGCCCAACTAAAACCACATAAATGCATAACACATAGAACCAGAATGGCACCCACTGGGAACCACCAGCAGCAACCTTCGCTGAAGGGACCTACAACTCCAACGTGGGTCACCAATCTCCATCCAATGATCGCCTCTGCAGTTCAGTCGAGGGAACTCCTCTGCATGCTGATCAATCAACACCTCCAATCGTTGTGGATTTATCGTTGTGGATTATATGACTTTTTCCAATGGATTACAGACTTTGTTTCCAAGGGGTTAAAGCATTGCTACAATGGAATTACCAACAACATAATGGAATTACCAACAACATTCATTCCTTCCTTTAAACTCTTCTATTTTGCCAGTAATCTAGATTCCTTCAGAAATGTCTTGTTGTCTTATTAGTAAAGCGTGCCACGTTTTATTAATCAGAACCAGATCAGCTAATCAAGTGTACAATGTTTTGATGTTAAATTTTGATTCTGTTAAATAAATGACTGCATTTATTCTGATGGGTCAAAGGAAAATTAACGTCTCTTGTCACTGATTAAACAATACTCACAGTTACCTCGGTCACATGGCATTAATTTAACTCGAAAAAGAAAGAACCCGTTATATTTAAATAATTAGTAGTGAAGGCACAGCAAAGCTGTCCTTGACACACTACAGAGCTGAAGAGATGCGCGTCGATCATCTGTCTCATACCATACTCTCATGACATGGTGACAGTTTCAACAAATATGTAAAAATATATTTTTTATAAAAGATACATACTACAGCTTTAAAGAACTTTTGTGATGTATTAATAACCTAAATGAGTTTTAAAATGTATTTTGTGACCTGTGACAGATTAATTGGTTTTGTTTAGAGAAAAGTTAAAAGATGAGGTTTAAACTGTAAAGCAATTAAAAGATATATAAACTGTTAAAGTGGTTAATCTATTTCAGGTATGAACTTAAAATGCTATGTGATTTTTTTTGTTCATAGTAATGTTCAAAGTATTCAATAAATGTTCATATTTCTACAAGAGGAGTTCCATTTATTTAAATTACCACATTAACCCAACAGATGTGTCAAAGGAACACATTTACTGTGCTAATTATTGAACACAGTACAACATTTTTCATTCAGGTCATCTGGACAGTTTCTTTTTTTCTTTTGTGCATAAATGTTTCACCTTCCATCCAGAAGGCTTCATCAGTCAAGGAAACACAACACAAAAGGAAGAATCAGTTTTGTGTTGTGTGTTTCCTTGACTGATGGAAGGACTGGATGGAAGGTGAAACATTTCAGCACACACACAAAAAAAGAAACTGTCCAGATGACCTGACTGAAAATTGTTAGATTGTATACCTGGATTATTGTGCATGGACTTTGTTAATTAACACAGTAAATGTGTCATCCTTATATAGACACATTACTGTGTTGGTTTTTGACTCAGTTTGTGTTGATATTAACACATCTGTTTTAAGAGTGTGACTGGAGCCGTCCAACCCAGACTGTGCTGTGGCTCCAGACGGCTTTTCTGTCTACCAGCTCGACAGAACTGAGTCACATCTGTGACACCCAATATGTTTATTGCTGTGGCACTATTTGGCTGTATCATGAATGTCACTGCCTTGCCATCGTGATTCAGTTGATCTCAGTGTTTCTCACTGCCTGGGCAGTGGTTTGTCACACAGCCTGTGTGGTGTATGTTGTGTGCAATATGTATCATGTGCATTTAAGCAGTGTTACTGCCTTAGAGGTACTTTGTACTGATTCATCTACTTGCACCATTATAGTCTACCATGTTGTTTACTATATTTCTTTTGAACCTTGTAGATGTTGTTTGGATTTTTTATTTTTATTTTTATTTTTTACATTTTGGTGATTTTCTTGTACTTTTGTTGCATGCTTTGGTATTTCTTTCTTCCTTTATTTTGGACAAATCAAGACAGTCCTCATCCTGAGCATATCATTGCATTGTTGACCTTGTGTTGACCTGCACATGACAAACAAACAATATGTCCAAATGGTATGCTATAACAAAATTAATTAATTCACTGTGACAATTAAACATTCAATCAATTTGAAGTAATTTCAGCTGCATTGACAACTATGATCCAGTTCAGCAGAACCAGGTGCCATTCTGCAAGAATGTTAGTGGCTCTATTAAAAGTACTTAAGGCAAAATAAATCTTCATTTATGCTAATATGCTGTGGTTTCTGTGTTTCTTACTGTGAATGGCTTAGACGATCCTTTGTCATCTTTACTTGATACAATTTTGGCGTTTTTTCGGGTCTCCCTCAATCTGTCGATGCTTGGAGGCTTTACAAACACAATGAATGGTTTGAACTCAGCAGTCCGCAGATGCTTTAATGTCTGCAAGAAGAACAAACGAGGGTAGAAAACAAAGCTGCAATTTGCTTTTTTACAAATAAAAAACCAGAATAATAACAGGAAACTGTGGCTGAGGTCGCTGAGGAAGTTGAAAAGCTGCGGGCCAGCAGGGCTCCAGGGGTGGATGAAATTTGCCCTGATTTTCTTCAGGCTCTGGATGTTGTGGGACTAGTGGGCTAGTGACAGAGCTTGAGCTTATTCTCTTCTGAATTAGCATTTCTGATCCTGTTGATGAAAAGTGTCTAAGGTTCACACCTGATAGTTCGGTAGACTCGGTTCGGTTGGGGACCAATATTCATAACATTTGTTTACATTTTCAGCTGGTGCGGTTTGCATTCACACTGCACTGAGTCAGTCGAGCCAACCTGTTCCCCCCCACCTCGCCTGTGGTGGCGCTGCACCAAGAGCTACTGAAAGAAAAGACACAAAAACCTCTGAAGAAGACACTTCTTCTTCTTCAGGTGGAAATAATAACAAAAACGGAGTGGCGTCAAATTTTAGCGGTTTTAGGAGTTCTGTTTTTTCATTTTTCAACAATGGACTCAGCATGAGTGGAAGATGAGGCAGAATACCATGGAGAATGTTGTTTTTCACACAAGGTGGCTGACTAGGGCTCGAGTATGAGGTAAGAGAAATGTGTGTTTGTTTGCCCTGCGCTGTAATCCACTTCCTGCTTTTGGAGTGGTGTCCGGTCTGCTTGCATTCACAATGCAGTTGAACTGCGCCAGAGTTTTACTTCAACCAGACCGAGACCTAGGTTTTTAGGCGGACCAGAGTTCGCCTTGTTGGTCCATGTAAGAGTTCGGTGGTGCGTTCACACCACCCCAATTGAACCGGACTTTCTAGGCAAACTGACTAGAGTTCCATTAAAGTGGACTAAACAGGGCTGGTGTGAATGCACCCTAAATCCACTGATGTAACGCAAGAGGAGCCCCAGAACAGAGGCTGGTTTAGTTCTTTTTGAGGCCCAAGACAAAGCATTTATTTACTTATTAATATTTTTCAGTCCATGTTTATTTAAGATCTACTTACTGAGCTCTAACTCTAAGGTTTATTGGAGCATAAAGGTAACCTCTTAGTCGGGTTTGACCACCAACACCCAGGACACAAAAACCAAAGAATAAGTCTTCAAATGGAGGAAATGAGAAATAATTTCTTGTTGAAAATGACCCTGATATAAATCTATGTTGGTAAATCAATAAATATTTGAGAAAATAAGGACAATCCAAGAAGCTGGAGATTGGCTCTTCAGATAGAGTTGTAGAGGCCAAAAGAACGAATAAGAATACAGAAAGGTGAGGAAAGTTGAGGTGGAGGGAAAGACTCAAAGAAGGTGAACTGTTTGTGTTACTCACATGAGGCTGGACATCTATCAGGCACACTTTGTTTTTGGAGAGGACAGAACGGATTGAGTCCAAACTTGTACCGTAGTAATTTCCTCTGTACTCACCAAACTCAATAAACCTAAGAGATGAGAGGGAAAAAAGGGAGTGATGAGACAACTGTTCAGCAGGAAAACACATTTTACTTGTTGAAATCTGTTTTAATAAGTTAGTAGGAGAGATCATATCTCTTCAGTTTTAGCTTCTCTCCATTGGCTCCGTGTCAAATTCAGAATTGAAATCTTACTTCTAACCTACAAAGCTCTCAACAACCTAGCTCCATCTTATATTACAGATCTTATTGTTCCATATTTTCCTAACAGAGCACTTCACTCTCAGGCTGCAGGTTTACTTGTGGTTCCTAGAGTTTCCAAAAACAGAATGGGAGATAGAGCTTTCAGTTATCAGGCTCCTCTCTTGTGAAACCAACTTCCAATTTCTGTCTGTGAGGCTGCCACATTATCCAGTTTTAAAACTGGGCTTAAGACTTTCCTTTTTGCTAAATCCTATAGTTAGGGTTGTCTTAGGTTTCCTGAGCTGTCCCTTAGTTATGCTGCTATAGGCTTAGACTGCTGGAGGACAAACTAACCACATTTCTTCACTCTGCTTCTGTGTTTACTTGCTCTACTCTATCTGTTTTGTATTTGTAATTATTTCTATCTTAACATGTTTTTTGTCGTTCTTCCAATAGAAAGTACACCAGGATCTATCATTCTGTGTTTGTTTGTTTCTTCTTTCTGTCCTCTCAAACCCGTCTGGTCAAAGCAGATGGCCGATCGTCCTGAGCCTGTTTCTGCTGGAAGTTTTTTCCTGTTAAAAGGGAGTTTTTCCTTCCCAATGTTACCTTTGTGCTTGCTCATGATGTGAGACTGCAACACTGTGAAGATTCAACACAATCTGCTGCTTCTTTAGATAGAGAACTTCACTAATTGGCTTTTCTATGTACAAACCGGATTCCAAAAAAGTTGGGACACTAAACAAATAGTGAAAAAAAACTGAATGGAATGATGTGGAGATGGCAAATGTCAATATTTAATTCATAATATAACATAGATGACAGATCAAAAGTTTAATCTGAGTAAATGTAACATTTTAAAGGAAAAATATGTTGATTCTAAATTTCACAGTGTCAACAAATCCCAAAAAACTTGGGACAAGTAGCAATAAGTGGCTGGAAAAAGGAAATTGGGCATATAACTAAAAGCTGGAAGACCAATTAACACTAATTAGGTCAATTGACAACATGATTGGGTATAAAAAGAGCTTCTCAGAGTGTCAGTGTCTCTCAGAAGCCAAGATGGTAAGAAGATCACCAATTCCACCATTGTTGCACAGAAAGATAGTGCAACAATACCAGAATGGTGTTACCCAGCGTAAAATAGCAAAGACTTTTAAGTTATCATCATCAACCGTGCATAACATCATCAAAAGATTCAGAGAATCTGGAACAATCGCTGTGCGTAAGGGTCAAGGCCATAAAACGCTACTAGATGCTCGTGATCTCCGGGCCCTTAAATGTCACTGCAACTCAAACAGGAATGCCACTGTCAAGGAAATAACATAATGGGCTCTGGAATACTTCCAGAAAGCATTGTCAGTGAACACAATCCACCGTGCCATCCGCCGTTGCCAGCTGAAACTCTACAGTGCAAAGAGGAAGCCATTTCTAAGCAAGCTCCACAAGCTCAGACGTTTGCACTGGGCCATGGGTCATTTAAAATGGAGTGTGGCAAAATGGAAGACTGTTCTGTGGTCAGAAGAGTCACGATTTTGAAGTTCTTTATGGGACACTGGGACGCCATGTCATCCGGACCAGAGGGGACAAGGATAGCCCAAGTTGTTATCAACGCTCCGTTCAGAAGCCTGCATCACTGATGGTATGGGGTTGCATGAGCGCTTGTGGCATGGGCAGCTTGCATGTCTGGAAAGGCACCATTAATGCAGATAACTATGTTCAGGTTCTAGAACAACATATGCTCCCATCTAGACATCATCTCTTTCAGGGAAGACCTTGCATTTTTCAACACGATAATGCCAGACCACATTCTGCAGCAATCACAACATCATGGCTATGTAGGAGAAGGATTCGGGTACTGAAATGGCCAGCCTGCAGTCCAGATCTTTCACCTATAGAGAACATTTGGCACATCATAAAGAGGAAGGTGTGACAAAGAAGGCCCAAGAGGATTGAACAGTTAGAGGCCTGTATTAGACATGAATGGGACAGCATTCCTATTTCTAAACTTGAGAAACTGGTCTCCTCTGTCCCCAGACGTCTGTTGAGTGTTGTAAGAAAAAGGGGGGATGCCACACAGTGGTAAGAATGGACTTGTCCCAACTTTTTTGGGATTTGTTGATGCCATGAAATTTGGAAACAACAGATTTTTCCCTTAAAATGATACATTCTCTCAGTTTAAACTTTTGATCTGTGATTTGTGTTCTATTCTGAATAAAATATTAGATGTTGGCACCTCCACATCATTGCATTCAGATTTTATTCACAATTTGTTTAGTGTCCCAACTTTTTGGAATCCGGTTTGTATGTGAATGTTTCTGTTCAGTGCCATGAGACAACTTTGTTGTGAATTGGCGTTATATACTGTAAATAAACTGAACTGAATTGAAAGTATTGCACCATTATCATCCTAAAAGAGATGCATAAAAATCTCATCATAATCTAGTTGACTGTCAGGGAGTGGTGGCGCAGAGGTTAGAGAATGTGAGCCTGTGATTGTAAGATCGCTGGTTCAACTCCCAGTCCTGACAAGATCAAAAATGTGGGTGGGATAGGTGAAGAACCCACACCTGCCTCCACTCTCATTTGTCCCACTCTGGGCCCTCGAGCAAGGCCCTTAACTCCCACCATCTGCTGCCCCAGGCACCGTAGATACCAGCTCTCTGCTCCAGACAGAGGGCTGTGGTAGCTCGGTGGTCTGTGATTATGTCAGCAAGGGCATCCGGTGTTTAAAAAAAAATTGTCAAGACTTTGTGCAACTCAGTTTGCTGTGGCGACCCCTGACAAAGGGAGCAGCTGAAAAAATTAATAAATCTAGTTAACTGCCAGCACACATCTGAAATTTTTAGTTGAAAAAAATGAAGCCTAAAACGTAACAAACTCACACAATCAGGAAGATTACTTTTTCAACCATCCACAGATGTGAAGTATTTTCAGAATTCAGACTCATTAAATAAATGTAATCTCTTTACTCATTCAATCACCGTTTTGTTCCAGAAAGACCACAAAGTTCCTACACACCAGAACTTCTAACTCACAAAAGTTTCAGCTCAACAAGCATGAATTAAAAAAAAAAAAAAAACTTTTCCACAAGAAAATCTCTCTGTCACACAGAACAGCCATAAATAAAATGATTCTTAGCTGGAAACAAAGTAAAAAAGAGGAGTGTACCAGCATGGAAAGAATTCAGCACTAATAGAATGGCCTGGCCTGCTAGTGCCAGGATGGCTGCCTGTGTGTATGTTAACTGCTGCCAGGTACAAAGAAAAGTTTTATGGTAATTGCCCATGTAAGAAAGTTTTACTCAACATTTTAATAGTAGCTTTACTTTTATTCAAATCTCATATACAGATATAAGAAATTCATTAAAAACTTACAGTAGCCTTTGTTGTAAAAGTCCCACCTTAGAGCGATTTGTGAGGTTTAGTATTGCAAGGAAAATAACCCAGGTTACAGTAAAGAATGTCAGTGTGGGTTGACTGTAATGAGAGAATAAATTGTTGCCATTTTGACACAGAACAGGGCTTCCCTTGGGAAAGCTGTTCATGCTGAATAGTCGTCGTGGCCTCTTATTTCTGAGCTGAGCACATTGTTTCTGCTGTATGTAATGAGGCACAACACAAACAAGTTCATCACACTGCTGCTTCACTATGCTGCCTTTTAATTTCAGTGTAGATTGCTCCACTCATCCACCCCACATCATAGCTCTGTCATTCATGCCTCCGACTCAGTGGAAAGTAGTGGATGCCTCAACCTACACCGCAATATGTCCTATTTATACTGTTCTACTCCCCTTCTGCTTTCTGTGTACAGCAAGCCTCTAAATGCACTCACTACCACAAGCTTTACTGCATGTCACACACTGTATGGGTGTGTGTTTGCTTGAACAAATGTTCTGCGACTTCTTCTCCTCTGCAGTTTGTGTGAGACCTGCAGAAAGGCATCAATCATTCTTGAGAGCATTACAACTTGCATTTCAATTTGCTGCCCACAAATGTGGAGGTAGGCTGTGGTGTGGCTGCTTTCACAGAGACACCCTGGCAAGGAGGAAGTAGACAGGAGATCCTGGGGCCACTGTCTGGAGGTCTGTACCAGCAATTGGTCTGGACCTGTCATTACCAGCTCGCAATAAGCTACAGAGAACACTGACAACAGAGAAGAGGTTGGGTTTCAGCTGTAACAGGCTGCTGCACTCTGCTTCTAGTGGTTAAAAATATGGCAACTGGGAAACATGTTTTTGTTATTTAAGTGAATTATTTAAACTGTTATAACATATTAATTAATATGTGTGTTAAGAATTATTTTATGAGTCCATATTCTTCATTATGCGAAAGGACCAATAGAGCTGATTCCAAGTGTAATTAGGCAAGGGAGGTACTAATCTCCACTTTATCACAGGGGGCAAACACCCCCAACAGACTGTTGCAACAATTATCAGAACAAAAGGAAAACAGAGTTAGCAGTATAGCTATAGAGTTAGCAGTCAGCAGCAGCACTGCTGGCCTTATGTCAGTAGGGTGTGGCACCAACTTAGGCCTGGATACCTCTTGTGTCCTGTGGCAAGTTATCCCACATCTGTACTAAGTGATCCTCTAGTTCTGGTAGTTCTAGTTCTACATCAGCAGCAGGTCAGACACAATGAATTAACTGATTTCTCATGCTTGATTAGGGTAAGATCGGGAGACTTGACTGGTCAGAAAAGATATTCAAAAATATGCAAGTAGCCCATAGATACACATGCCATGTGTGGACCAATGATGCCTTGTTACAAACTGGACCAGTGTGTCTCACCTCAGACAGGACTGGTCCTGGTCTTGGTCTCCCCTCAGCACTGCCACACACTCACA